CATACTTTGAAGGGCTGACACTTATAATATCTGAATTTTATCTCAATTTTTTTTTTAATTTAAAATTTCAGGGCTGGAGAGATCGCTCAGCAGTTAAGAACACTACAGATTCAAATCCCAGCATGCATATGATGGCTAACAACCATATGTAACTCCAGTTCCAGAGGATTTGATGCCCTCTTCTGTCCTCTGTAGGCACTGCACAATGCATGTGCACTAACATATACAGGCTTAACACTCATACACATAAAATAAAGATAATAAAAAATTTCATACAAAAATTTAGAACAGGCTACTCCTGGGTACAGGTAGATTCCAAAATGAACAATAAAAGAATGCTCCAGGTTTCAAAATATTGGTAGGGTTCAGAGTTACACAGACATACACATATGTGAAAATCAACAATACATCCAAAATATGTTCACATTACATGCAAATAACAAAATTCTACAAATACTGAATCTAGTTAATGGCATGTATGCTGGAATATTTGGTGAAACATGCAACAGTATTCGAAATTTACTTTAAATAGAAATAAAAATAAGATAGGGGCAAGTGAGATGGTTTACCAGGTAAAGGTATTTGCTGAGTCAGCCTGAGGGCCTGAGTCTAATCCCCAGAACCCACTGTGGAAGGAAAGAACTGACTCCTGCAACTTGTCCTCTGACTTTCACTTGTATCTGTACAGGTACATATATACATACATACATATATACATACATACATACACACACGTGTGCATGCACACACACAGAGGTGTATACACACATAGACACACACACACACACACAGTATTTTTTTAATTTTAAATAAGATTAACATATGAGTAGATTACTAAAAGAAAATCTAGCCAAAGATTAATAGTGGAATCTTAGTGTTAAACATATACTAATACACTGTAAAGTTCTTTAAAAAATGCTGTATGACTAAAATTTTTCAAAATAAGAGGCTGCAAAAACATTAAGCAAGCATATAACTGGCAAGTTAGGATTACTATTCAGAAACAGAATATGGTCATAGACAGAATGACTAGATGGCAACATTGGGGCAATTTCTAGAGAAGATGTGATATTTAAATCAAGATATGAACACTTTCTAGAAATTATTCAGGTGTAGGTATTTTAAGCAAGTCTTCCAGTACTCCTCTGTCTCCTCCTCCAAAATAAATCTTGTCCTACGTCCCTGAAAGTTGGGGCATTCAAGCAAGCTAGTATGACTGTGGTACATCAGGCAAGGACAGAACAGCATAAAATTCCTCTGCATGAAAAGAAAGCCCCAAATTCACACAGGGTTTGTAGCAGGGCAAGGAGCTGTGACTTTATCTACTGCTGTGGAAAATCATTAGAAGGTTTATAGCAGGGATAAGTGGGATGGGATGAGGCATGTCCTTAAAATTTAAAATGCCATATTGTCTGCTGAGTGAAGAATGGCTTTGAAATGCTTTAAGAAGAGATGGAGGAGCTACTGCATGCTCTGTAAAAAATCAGGGTAGTTTAGAGGAGAGCGGTGGGAATGAAGGTAGTGAGTTCGGGGATGTATGTTCAGCTGGCAGTCCCTAGAGACAGATGTACAACAGGTAGTGAGGGAGCCAGGACAAGCTTGGCTCCACCTGAGCTGCACAGACTGGTAGAAGGAGCGTAGGGGGACATCAGATCTCAAGAGGAAGGTTCTGCTTTTTGACTGTTGGGGGGGTGTTTGTTTTTGTTTTGTTTTGTTTTGAAATTGAACAGAATTTGTAGTTGTGAGAAAAACAAAGAAACGGGATCAGAATAATCTGGAAGTTGTTAAAAGACATGTCTTTAATTTATCATTTCTTTTCCTTTCAAGAATCAAGTTTGGCTTGATTTTGTTAAGGACCACTAGTCTTGCAAAAAGATCAAACTTAAATGGAAATCAAGCTCACTGATTACTGTCGCCTTCCACCAAGGTTAAAGATAAACTGGAGATCTACAGTCCTCTATCTCTAAACTCAGGAGTGCGAATAAGGGTGACAAAGTAGTCCATAGGCAAGTACACAGAAGTAACCTATGAAGTCTCCACTGTCTCTCAGCCTGTCAATGATCAGAGGCTGTCTGATTGCTTAATTCCACATATAATAAGCTTAAGTATCTGACAGTACTTCACACAGCTGTAATGTCTCAAATATTAGCTCTCATCCCAAAATCTCATTAGTTTAGTCAAAATATAATTAAAAAAAAAAAAACATGGTCTTTGAACTAAAGAAATTTAAATTTAAACCTTGTTGATATTGAGCAAATTACCATTCTAATCTTTAATTTCCTATAAAATGTAAAAGAAAATAATTAAGCCCAAGAATTGGCATTAGAAATAGCATTTCCAAAGTGCCTGGCACATGGAAAACATGTTCCGTAAACTGGAGCTACAATTATGCAAAAGGAAACTAACACATCAGGATTCCATAGTTAATTTCCAACTCTGGAGGCAGAGCTACCCTGCTACCAGAAAAGAAGCACAGACTAGAGGGAGGGAGACCAAAGAAAAAAAGACCAAGTTTCACCATATAGCACAGAAAGAAAAAGATAGAAATCTATAACACGGTTGGGGGCATATAGCTCAGTTTTAGGATATGTGCTTAGCATGTGTGAAGCCCAGGGCTTGACTCCTCAGCACCACAAAAGAGAAGTAAAAGCAGAAAGAATTTATGAATAGGTATGACATGAGGAAAAGTCAGAAACTTACAAACTGATAGGTTGAAAGATACCATTTTAATGTAGGAATGTATTTTCCCATGGATTCAATGACTACTTTAACTCTCAGATGAGCTTACAATCACCCATCAAAATCATGATACAGTTGAAATGTGCTATATTTCACTAAACCTAATAATAAAAAACTGATAAATCACCAAATGATACATGTACGTACACACACACACACACACACACACACAGAATGAGAGAGAATGAGAGACAGAGAGAGAGAAAGAGAGAGAGAGACTTTAATAATATGTCATTTATTTTGGAAGGTAACCCTTGAAGGAAGGTGTTTCAAGGGCGATTCCTGCAGCAATTCAGAAGGGGTTCTTGGGTAAATTCCAAAGTTTTAAAGAAGCAGATGACCCTGCTTCTTCGCTGTGTTTCATTTCACTTCAGGTTTCATGGCTTCCCTTTCTTTCACTTTAAGCAAAACACTAGCATGCTTATACTTCATAGCCATGACTGCAATCCTTTATTTCACAAATGAGAGAGAATCTAAGGGAAGAATTAGAAGAAATTAGGAAAGAGAAAAGAATCACACAGGACCTGCCAAAGCAAAAGGAGGGAGACAGCCTGCATTTAGGTGACCATGGTGGGAAAGGAAAACTAAAAGAGATAAAGCCCAGCATTACTATATTGAAGGAAGCCAAAAGAGGCCCACCATGATTAACTGGCTAGCTTAAAAGTCCCAGGTTATAAACAAAGACAGAAGGAAAAACAGAGCAAGGCAGTCTGAAGCCACCATTCATCTAAAGGAAACGCTCATGAGTGAAAGATTCATGACTCAAAATGTGGCACAGGAATGTAATTCTGCATTGTGTCCTAAGTCCTTTCTATTTTCCAAAATTCCTCCAATGATTTTTTTGTGTAGACTCTATTATAAGCATAATATTATCATATCCTATAAGGCAGGTGACAATATCTACAGTAGAACTAAAAAAGGACTTTTGAATTTAAAAGTACACAATGGAATAAAACTATTTTAGGAAAGTCTCAGTAACAAGGAGCCATGCCTCCAAGGTAATGAAGAATACCAATGAGTTTATCCAGACAGCAGCCTGCAGCAGCCTACCTAGTCTTACTATGAAATCAGTACTGAAATACTTTTTGAATGTTGGCAACTTTGAAGAGACAGTCAAGGAATAGAGACAGGCAGATAAAATGATATCTTCTATGGACTGGTCTTACATCCAAGGTATTTTGTCAAAACAAATAAACAACAAAGAACCCTTAATAAGGAGCAAAACCAAAATAATCTAGCCATGTCCAACAGAAACAAGGCACAACAAGCCAAACAACCCTTCGGATCACTAAAGGACTGCTTGTCCTATTTGCAAAGACTATATTAATGCCTACAACCACTTTGGACCAATATTTCTACATAACATGACTATAAAAACCTTGTCAAATCTAATGTTCTCCAATTGTAGACAAAAATTATAAACAACAAACCTCAATGAAAAAAACAGGGCTACAAAAATGTTAGTATGAAATGTTGAAAAAAATTGGATCTAGCCAAGGAAGTCATAGCAATGTTTTAAGACACTATTAATTAATGTCTCTGACTACTGAGTACTGTCTCATGTCCCTACAACTTCCTATCGAATGTATAAAAATACTGATCTTATTCTATATTTTAGAATAAATATAAATAAATATAAACTTATAAAGTTTGTAAAGCTTTGTTAATTTATGAAAACAGCATGCCCTTTCCCATTTTCTCAATCACCAGATACTGAAAATATAATTGTTCTCATGAGCACAAGAAATATATTTGAAATTTAATATAACGTTCTTCAGTTTACTTTTCTCTCCAATTTAGAATATTCAGTTCTAACCTCTCACTGTCTATTTTATCTTTCTTAGAAAAGTTATTAAGTTGATATTTTGCATTTCAGGAAAAGGGAAAAACTTGAAGAAGCTTGTCAGGTACATCTTCACTTCAATCATGTATGTCCTTTAACTTTAACAAATCAAATTCACCCGCTTATGTACAAATTCACATTGCATCTAATCTTTAGGATCCTTAGAACAATTACTTCCTCTAATTAGCTAGTGATTTCATCTTACAAAAGACCTATAGCTAAAATCAAATTACTTTTTAAAGCCTGCTTAGTAACAGAATATGGTAATTCAATTGATAAATTCTTCCAGAGCAACAAGTAATCAGAAACCTAAACTTATTACAATATTATTTGCTCTATGGGAATTACTTTTTACATGTTTGCTCAGCCATATCTGCTCAGACACAGAAACACTACCAAAGTTAATTTAAGGACTTACCAATTTCCCTTGCAATTCTGACAGCTTCATCTGCATCCTGTAAAAGCAGGAAATGAGACTCAACATTAATCCCATGAGGCATTGCACAATGTCTTTAGGGCAGTCGTATATTGCACCACTGTCTCCTCTGATTCATTTAATGTTCAATTTTACAACCTTCTAACCCTTTTCATTCAGAGAAATGTAAAATTAATACCATAAGTGGAATGTAAATTCTACCTCGTCATTATTATATTAAGAAACTCAAAGCGGTCTGAAAGGAGCTGGCAGGAAACACTACCAGAATTGCCAATGATTTGGTGCAGTTGCCGGAATTTAATGACAGAATTTAGATGTTTACAATCAATACTGAGTCATAAATCGGATCATTAAAGTTTGTCTGCAGTCTGCTTTTTGTCTGTATATTATGTTTTCCTAGATTCTGTCAGCAGGGGGAGTTGATTGTCTATTGTTTGGGTGGAGCTCCATCGATTTTTTTAGAAATAAGTAAATTCCCAGTATCTATAGAAATTATCAATTGTTCAAAACAAAATCCTTTTGTGATGTCCTTTACTTTTTCTATTTTTTACTTTATCCTTTCTTCAGGTACATATTTTATTTGTTCAGTTGTAGCTAAGTACATAAATTAAAACCCTAATTCAATGAACTACTAGAAGGGAAAAGGTCTAAAAAGGCAAGGAAAGAACATGCCACCCTAAAGTTCAAGTTTACTGATTCATGGATTAGTTACTGCCAAATATCAACAGTACCAGCTGTAACTCTAAGTGACTGAAAACTGTCCCCAGTCTGTCATTCATGACCATGAACACGTGCCACACAAACTTCTGACACACTTCCCATGTAACAATAAAGAGAATGCTGAACTCTAAACATCTTTTCTCAATTCAATTACTTTTTATAATTTAGTGACACAGAGTGATCACTAGAGTTCTAAAACCACCAGCTGATAAGTATGTCAGAATTTTTAGAAAACTTCAAAATACTGAAGTGATGTCTAGTACTTTTTTTAGGCTTTTAAACTAATACATTTAAAATATAGAATAATCATGTTAGAATCCTCCCCCCATTGAGGAGGGGAATAGCTGGTTCATTTATGTCCAATAAAAAAAAAATCTTCCTTAAAAGTCTTCAGTACCTAATAACATCCCCCTGAATACAGAGATTGGCAGGGGAAGTTGTCAGAAAAATTTAATTTCCTTTCATTAGCCAGTCTGCTCCACAAATAGGTGCTTGTTAAGTTCAAAGCGGTCCTGAAAGCGACATCAGTTTTAAGTCTTTTTTAACTCCAAGCAGTCACATCTGCTAATGAGATTTTCCAAATAACAATTGTTTTCAATTCAGAGATAAATCTAGGCCCCCTCCCTATCCCCCAAAATCAAGGTTTACTGCTTTATTACACCTTGCTGTTTTCACTGACCCTACATTCTCCAAATTTTAGCTTTAAAGGATAAAAATCCATGAAAAGGGTCATTTAAGAATGTTAGTGGCTTCCACACATTGAGTTGGAAGGTTCTTTGTTCCAGCCAGTGACAGTTATTGGAGAATACTTGCCTTTAATAGCCTCTCTGTCAGGAAGTGTTAAACCTGCCAAATGCGAACAATTAGTGCCTCCTGAACAAAATACAGGAAGAGTGATGGCTGATGAACATGGGATTATAATAAGCCTAGAAGGAAACTTTTAACATTTCATTCAATGTACAATGGTGTATTTGCCAAAGATAATCTGAGAGAAATTAAACTACTATCCAAAAACTTTGGAACCTGGAGAAAACTAATAGGCAAAGTTTAAAGCCTAATTCCCAGAATTCGTTTCTCCTGTTTTGTCATGTATTTATATAAGCACATGGTATACGTGTCGTGTTTTATACACAAAGAGAATCATATTTACACAGAGTAAAACTTCTTAAAACTCTTTATTTGCCACAAAACAATCTTATATGTTTGTTTTCTTATTATGAAAAGCAAATTCTACTACATAAACTTTCAAGTAAAATCAAATCTCCTTAAAAATTAACTTTTCATTTGTCATTCATTGGTCCACCAAAAAAAATCATTGAGGATCTATTAAGTTTTAGACATCTAAAAGGTCTACTAATAATTTCAAAACTAAGTTAAATACACTCAGTGCATTTAGTTTTTCAACACATTTGGTGGTTTTTATTATTGACTACGTTGATGTGATTGACTAAATCACATCTGAAAAGATTAAAAACCCAAAACAACTCCAAAGTCAATGGCACTAACTGACATGAGGCACCAGAGAACTTCCTTACGAAGTTGTAGATAGGAAAAAAAAAAAAAAAAATAGTGAAGTTTTGAAACTGCCAGGAAAGGTTTATCAAACATTCACAAAATCATACAACTAATAGGTTCAGAAGAAAGAAATTCAAAAGAATATATCAAATGCACTGGGCCTCATCATCACTGCAAAAGTGAAATCAGAACATGAAACCCCACTTTGCATCCACCAACTCCAGTGTGATAGATGATGGGCAACAGCACAATGCAGAGCTTCACAATGCTGAAGCCAGAGGAACCAGCCCTTTCGTCAAACTTTGAGAACTTGTCTCTCTTTACCCTCCAATTTTACTTGTAGGAAGTTACCATACAGATAACCTCGCATGCATGCACACAGACTTATAAAGAAACTTACTACTTTCAATATGTTGGTGGTGTTTTGTAAAGAAAAAGAAATCTGAAAAACAGTTTAATAGACCTTCAACAGAGGGCTACTACACAAATAGTACAGTAATTGAAATGGAATATTACATAGCCATTTAAAAGAATGATGGCCACATATTTTTATTCATACATTTAGACAACGATGCAATAAGTAACCACCAACAGTATATGAAGTGCAATTTCTGCCCTCCTGGAAGCCTGGCCCACTAAGAGAAATGGAAACTCAAGTAAACAAGCAAATCAATTGAGAACTGATACAAACATTTCATGGAAATAATGTGTGAAGGTAGAGAGTAAGGGAGAAAACCTGGTTTAGATTACTCAAAAAAGGACATGTCTGGAGTAAAATTTGAAATCTAAGGACAAAAAACAGCTATATCAAGGAAAAATTAGAGAGAAAGGATGTTCTACAAAGAACCAATGTATATTAAAATCCTAATGAGGAAGAAACTTAATATGCTTTAGAAAGAGAAAGAAGGTCCAGAGGCTAACCCAACTGCATCAGTCCTATGAGGGATGAGGGTGACCTGGAGTTTGGTTTTAAGAGGGTAACTGCTAATCTCAAAAAATATGCAAGATGTACATAATACATACACTTTTGAAGGGTGTGGTAACAGGTTCAGTGGGACTTTATCCACATATGGCAGAAACACACTTTTGAACGCATATGTAAGTTTATGTGCAGACAGCTACAATAAGCAGCTTAATCTGTTCAAAAGCAAGATTAAGAGCTGGAAAAAAGGAAACCTTACTAAAATTTTACACCTTTAGAAACATGCTGGCTTTTTTACATGAAGATAATAATTTCATACTTCATGAGACTTTTATAGCTTAAGACCACAATTTGCCATCTTGAAGGTATGTTTTTTAATTATGTAATGATTATTAGGGCATTATCTGTTATCAAAACTAATAACTGGGTATGGTGGTACCTGCCTGTAGTCTCAGCATTCAGGTGGTTGAGGCAGGAGAATCATGAATTCAAGACCATATTTTGTCTCAAAAATCTAAAACATAAAAAGTTTTCACAAAAAAAAAAAAAAATTGAAAATTTTCATGGCCTCCCATTGCCTAAGAACAAATCTCAAAGTCCGTAGATCATGCCCTAAGTCACCAGTACCAATCTCAGCTCCATTCCAGCTAACTCCCCCCTAATCCCAGGCTTTCTTTGCATATCCAGCTGCAGTTGGCTAAGCTCAAAGGAGAACTCGCCTCTCTGTCATCAAGTCAGCTCTTGCTAAAAATGGCCACAGAGGAGGCCCTGAAAACCCAGAGGTGACAGGACAAGATACCATCCAAGCAGTCATGGAGCTTACAGGTCAGAGGAACAGCCACACCTGAGCACACAGTAGCTAACAAGTAATATAGTAATACATGCTCCACAAAAGTAATTAAGAGGAACTGTGCCACTGGGCTGTGTCATTCAAAAACAGATGCCTGGAAGCTGCCTCAGTGCAATAACTGAAGGAAACCTAACAAATGAAAGCATAGGGGAATGCCGACTGACTGACCGGCGCTCAGAAGTGAGGTCACAGAGTCAAGCACGACGCCCACGGGCCTCGTTAAAGAGACTCAATTTCCACCAATGAGCAAGGGAATGAAGGCCTCACTCTGGCTGCCTTTGGGGGTGGGGGCTTGAAGGGGAGGTATGGTCTGTCTAGCTGGCTCTTGCTGGACTAGCTTCAAACATATGATCCTGCTTCAGCCTCCAGAGGGATGAGAGTACAGGCTGTCCCAGAGCCCAGCTTGCTCAGCATTTAACTTGTAACCACACTGGGAAGATGCTGAGTTTTCTTATGTGTGTCATCGGCCTTTTATATCTCCCTGCCCCAATTAATGGAACCTCTGCAAGGTCAGAACTCATTGTCTAGGGTCTGGAGAGATGGCTCAGCAGTTAAGAGCACTGGTTGCTCTTGCAGAGGACCCAGGTTCAGTTCCCAGCACCCACATGGCAGCTAACAACCATCTGTAACTCCAGTTCCAGGGGATCCAATGCTCTCTTTTAGCCTTCACAGGCACTGCACACACATGATGCACCTACATATATGCAAGCAAAACACTCATAAAAAACTTTAAATAAATCGGGGCTGGAGAGATGACTCAGTGGTTAAGAGCACTAACTGCTCTTGCAGAGGACCCGGGTTCGATTCCCAGCACCCACATGGCAGCTATGAACCGTCCTTAACTCCAGTTCCAGGGGAATCCGAAGCCCTCTTCTGACCTCTGCGGCATTGCACGACACGGGTGCACTCACATACATGTAGGCAATACACTCATACACATAAAATAAAAATATATTTTTAATTTTTAAATCAAAAAAATTTTATTGAATTTTTGTGTTTTTCATACAGAACA